CATTTCCCTTAATAGTGCATGTATACGAGGTGACGTATTCATTGGATCTACCATCCTGTTATACTTCGGAATATCGGGCATACGAAACTTCTTCGGGATTGGCTTCGGGGCCGCACTTGGGGGAAAGGTTTCTGGACAAACATTTTAGAATCAAGTCCTTTCAATACCGGTGGTGCCCCCAGGATTTGGTCGACCCTGGAGTTGTAAGTTTCCACCTTCTTATCATTTTTCTCGATCTTCTTTTCCTCTGTCTCAATTCGCTTCGTCAGTTCATCGAGCATTTTTATGATAGCGAGATTATTCTCCAATTCTTCTTCATTCGAACTCTTTGGCACCAATTTGGCTCTGTGAATGACTTCTAGTGATGGCTCGAGCTCGGTTCTGCTTAGTGCGCAATTCTGATTTTGGAGTTGTGCTATTTCAGCTTGTTGAGTCTGTAATATCTCGAATAACATTCGAAGGCTAATTCAACCTTCTTCACCACTCTGTGCGTTCTAATAGGCTGCTCGAGCGTCTTTGCGGATGATATTTTCAGGGTCGACACCCAAATTCCCATTAACGACAATATGGGAGTTGACATTGACTGGGTCTATGGCCAGTGGTCCATCGGGGTTGACTGGAGGTACTCCATTTCCCGGTGCAGCTATGTTTTTATTTTCGCCATAAAGACCAAGGTTGTTGTCTGTATGAGTAGGTTCTACATGAGAGTTCTATATATTGATTCGTGAAATCAAGGACACTTATAAGAACAAGCATAAAGTAGTGTGTGTTATGAGAATTAATACCAGACAACCACTATTATCCTTAGCCCCACCATGGGCGCTAAATTGTTACCCTTAAAATCGGATAACAATTAAACTTATAAGTAGTTTTAAGGATATGTAATTTCACCTAATACCAACTGATAAATATGATGATTAATAGTAGAAATAAACAACAAAGTAAAGCAACCAGCATTGAAATGCAATTCAGCCCTCGAGCTAGGTCGCCCTCGAACTGAGCGAATGAGAGTAGAATTATAAAACAGACTGATGAACAAGAAAGTACAAGAAAAAATAGTATTGTATTGCTTATGTATACGTGAATGTATGATGATTACAAAATGATTAAACCCCTCTTTATATAGTAGATGAATCATATTATAGTACAATTCTAATTACAGAAGTAAATCCTATGATAAGCTAAATAACCGCTCTTGATTTGATCCGTTCCGATATTTCTGTCATGATCCTCAGCCAGTCATGTATATCTTGCTTTTCCGTTATTATGCTATCTTCAGTCTCGCTTGATGTCCATCCTGTTTGGCCCCGATCATCACCGGTCTCGACCTCGATAGGTACTTCAAATCCCGAACTCAGTGTTGTATCCTCATACCTCAGTGTGATATACTACGGGACCGATCCTCGATCCATTCCCCTCGTCCCGATCAATTAGTGAAATCGGGTAGGCCCGATTTTAACCGTATACAAGATTCATTTCATATAGTACGTGATTCGGGAAACAAATCTTGTTTTGGCATAATTTCGGACCATATGTTTTTTATTTATTTAGTTAATAAGTGATTGCAACTATCCGACCATTTAAAATATTGGTATACTTAATTCCCTTCCGACTTTCAGTTTTTGTTGTGTAATGTAATGTTATTATATTTTTTTGAAAAAATGAGAAGTAAACTAGATAAACACAAAACGATTTGAAAAGTAATGGCAGGCTAAAAACCTGTACTTTAGTCATAGTTTGCACTCTAATCATTGCATTTTACTTGTGGTTGAGCTTAATAATGGAGATTTGCGCTTATTACATATTTTATGCCTTGCAGGAAATTATTCTGATCTATTAAGATAATTTAGATCTAATTTAAACAAGTTGGAGCTTTGTACTCTAAGTAAAAGCCCAAAAAATTAAGCCGGGATCACAGTCGGGGTCCTCGGACCAAGTCTGGATGTCAAAATGTGAGAAAACAAAATTACTCTGAGAGAATTGCACAACTGTGTCGCACCATGAGTAGCGGGGCGTGGGGCGCTAGTGCAAAATTCCTGCATAGTAAAAAAATAGGCCTCTGAACTTTTCCACTAATGCGGCGCATAATGCGCCGCCCGGTGCATCACGGTAGTGTATTTCCTCGCCCAACGTTCCTCACTTCGGCTTGGAAAGGATAGTTTCATTCGGGCCCGTTCCTACATGGTATAAATACATCAAAAACACGACTTTAGAGGATTTTTGACCTACGGGATATTGGAAGAGCATTGGAGACTCATAGCACAAGGATTCATCATTCTTCCATCTAATCAACACCCGAGTTTGGATTGAATTCATATTTTCTTATTATTCAACTTTATTTGTGATGAATTTCTTCATGAATATGGAGTAGTTTCCCTTAGGGTTTGAAGGATATGGTGTTTTGTTAAATATTTGTGGATTTTAACTCTCGTTATTTTCTTGAATTCGTTTATGGAGCTTAGAATCGTTGCAACTTTATTCACCGATTTATTTAATCGAAAGAGGAATATTTTGGTGATTATCTTTGCATTATTTTGTTTGATTTAATTCATTGATTCTCTTAAGTAATTGAAAGAGCTTGTTGAATTGTTGATTAAATTCAGTTAGGAGAATATTCGAGAGACATTTTTTCCTAAAGACTAATCCATTAACGCATGCTTGCATATTTTCATAGTGCTTATATTATTTCACCTCATACAGTTAAGATTTAATCGAGAGATGAGTCTTGATTACACGTTTGAACTAATCATCGAGTGAATTTGTGAGAATCATTAGAACATTAGAGTGAAGTAAACTAGAGTTGGATACCAAGTAGCTATCTTGCACCTATCTTGTCAAAACTTTTATTCCCCACATTGATAAGAAACCAACTCTGCTAATCTCTAGTTCTTTTCAATCAATTGTCAATTGCTTTACTTTAGTAGTTAATCATAGTTTGTAATCAATCCAAATCAAGTTTTTATCATCCTGAATAGCAGTTAAATAAGAAATTACTAGAGCATTGTTTAAATCCAATCCCTATGAAGACGATAATTAAACTATATTATCTTTGGCTAGAGAGCATCGATTTCATGTTGTGTTTTACACTCGTTAAATTTTGGCGTCGTTGCCTGGGATTGGCAATCGATAGTGTTCAAAATAGTTTATGGTGCTAATTCAGGAATTTTTTTATTTTATTCTTCACGGGGTTCTCTTCCATGTGCAGGCAACAGGTTAAGTTCATGGTATACGACTCGATCTTCTTCAAAAGAAGTAATACCCTACAAATCAGTGTTGGAAAAACACCTACGACAACTGAGGAATGAGAAAGAGCTCACTGGAAAGTTCTTGGGGCAAACTTCAACGCAAGAACACATGGATAATACGGTGACGACGAGGTAGATTTAGCTGTAAGAGAGTCACCACATTAAAGAGAAGAAGCTGCAAGGATAGCAGCTGAGGCAGCCCGTAGAGCTGCTGATGAGACCGTCGAATATGATGGGGGTCAAAGATTCAATCTAAATCGACCCTTGATTGAAGACCAGTTCGAGAATGCGGTACCCAAGCCTAGTAGAGCATTGGGTGATTATGCCAGACCAGTCTACAATTAGGGATTGTCTAGTGTCAGACCTCCACCAGTAGCACCAAACAATTTCGATTTAAAGCAAGGCTTGCTTCAAACTATCCAGAAAAACTATGTCTTCAGAGTGAAGGTAAATGAAGATCCTAACACTCAATTGATGGATTTTGAGGAAATCATGAACACCTTCCAGTACACCAGAGTGTCAAAAACTGCAGTTTACTTAAGAACATTCCCTTTTTCACTAAAGGATGATGCGAAGCACTAACTGTAGCTTACTAACGGGGTCGATTAGGGCATGGGAAGATATGACTAAAAACTTTCTTGATAAATACTTCTCAGTTGCAAAAACAGTGAAGTTCAGAAGGGGAATTCACAACTTTTGTGAGACGGATATTGAAAAAGTTTTTGAGGCTTGGGAATGATTTTAAGAGATAGTGAGGAAATGTTAGCATAATAGGATTGAATTATGGATGCAACTTCAAGACTTTTGGGATGGACTGACACCTCCTTCACGACGAAATCTGAACACTGCAGTTTGGGGTCCTTTACTGAAGAAGACTCCTAAGGAAATTGTAGCAATTCTTGATAAGCTCTCTTATGATGATAACCAGTGGCCTGCTAAGAGTAATGATAGAAGAAAATCAATTGGGGTTCATCAAGTAGATTCTAGCACATCAGTGCAAGCCTAGCGAGACATCATGGCCAAAGAGATAAGAAAGTTTACCTTAGTCAAGGTCCAGAGCCAACCATCAACAATTTGTGATTTCTGTGGAATGGGTCATCAAACGCATGAATATCAGGACTCAGCTGCAGATGAAGTGGTAAATGTTATGGGAAGCTTTGATAGAGGAAACTACCATAGTGGTAGTAATTTTAACTCTATGGGACAGAGGCACCCATGTTTTTCTTGGAGTTCACCAAGTGGTAGTCTGAACTCGTGGCAGCAAAATAACTCCAAATACCAAGGACAAGGAGCTCCAGGTTTTCAAAATCAGCAAAGGCAGCAATATTAGCCTCCACAGTCTAATCAGTCTAGCATGAAAGATCTGATGAAGGCCTTTATTATTAAGACAAATGAGAGGCTTGAAACACATGGCTCAGTAATACGAGAATAGTGCATAGCTATCCGAGAATAGGGCACAACTATTCAAAACCTGGAGAGACAGGTGGGGCAACTTGCTAATCTATTGTCTAAGAGGGTTCCAACAACTCTCCCTGCTGATATATAAAAAAATACAAAAGAGATAATAAATATAGTGTCTTTAAGGAGTGGGCACGTATTGGAGTATCCCAGGGAAAAACAAAAGAATGAGTTGATTGAAAGACATGTAGAGATTGTGGAGGAGCAGAAAAATAACAACATTCAAGAAGGTGAAGTGATGGCCTGAAGAAGTGGGGGAAGACTAGAGATCAAAAGAAGAAGAAAGATGGAATTTCAATGGATAAGGATACTAAGGAGAGCAAATACATGCATGCTCTACCTTTCCCCCAGAAGCAAAGAAGAGAGAAGTTGGACAAACAATTTGGGCGCTTTCTAGAAGTGTTCAAGCAAGTGCATGTGAATATACATTTTACAGAGGTGCTTTCACAGATGCCAACTAATGCTAAATTCTTGAAGGATATATTATACAAGTTGCGGAAAGAGGAAGAGACATTAGTGGTCAAGCTCACCGAGCATTGTAGTGGTATCCTGCAAAATAAGCTCCCTCAAAAGTGTAGAGATCCAGGGAGTTTTACTATACCTTGCTCTTTAGGAAATACTAAATTTAAAAAATCTTTGTGTGATTCAGGTGCTTCTATTAATCTCATGCTTTTGTCTATTTTCAGGAAATTAGAGGGAGAGATTGGAGAAATCAGGTTAATACATGTGTCCTTGCAGCTGGCGGATCAAACCACAATCATACTTGAAAGAATAGTAGAAGATGTGCTAGTTTGGGTAGATAAATTTGTGTTCTCTGTGAACTTGATTGTGGTACACATGGAGGAGAATAGGGATGTTCCTCTAATTTTAAGAAGATCCTTCAAGGCTATGGGTAGAGCAATTCTGGATATTCAGGAAAGGCAACTCATGTTCAGCGTAGGGGAAGAAAGGTTGATTTTCAAGATGGAAGGAGAAAGGGGGGCCTAACAGAGCAACTTGGAGAGAGTAAAACTGATAAGTGTGGGGTGTACCCAAAGAAGGTCAAAAAGAAGCTCTCGGCATGGATATGTGCATTGGGTCGGGCATGCAAAAGAGATCCCGACTTCGATTAAAACCCAGACTAGATGAATGAGGAAAGTTTCCTTTACCTCTTGCTTTTTATTTGTGTGTCATGGGGACATGCCACAATTTGAAGTGTCGGGTAGGGAATGATGGAAATATATACACGTGTGTCTCTTTTTTGCTTCTTTTGAATTTTTTTTTACCGGACGATGGATTTCCTCGACTGTCTTCTTGAGGGATAAAAGTCAAAGAATTTTTTTTTTTTGATTTTCTTAGGTAGTGTAACAATTCCTCCTTTTTTCTTTGTGTTGCGGTTCTTTTTCAAGGGTTTTGTTTGAGCCGGGTGTAGTTAGTTTTTATTTAGTTAGGAACTTTGAAGTCTTGTGCTATGGTATTAAATGGAGGTGACTTTTTTCGATTTTGTTGTTCCTTGAGAGTAGTGAGTTCCTTAGTCATGACGCCTAGGCTCAATTCTTGACTCATGGATATGTACCTTAAATTCTTTGATTATGACTTTGCTTAACTGCTTTGACTAAAGAGTCAGGATATATCCGATCCTAAATGAATTATGTGCCAATGTGTGTGTGAGATTTAGTTGATATTTTGTGCATGTCAGTTGATGTCTAGAACTTGCCCTGTATATTTGCAAAGTTAAATAGTAGTCTTTTTCAGTTTAGGAAGTGATATAGGCATTTCTTTGTTGAGCCAATTACATGTCTGTGACCTGCCTAAGTGTGATGTATCTTAATTAGGCCCGTTGAGCCTGTAATCCTTTTTCTATGCAACCACACTACAAGTCTGACCTCTTTGTTTGAATTGACTATCTATTTGAAACGTTTACCTCTTTTGAGCACTTGATATATTTATGAGCTTGGTAAAAGCTAAGTGGAGGTATGGTTAAGTTTTGAGTGGAACTACTAGAAAAGGAGAAAGGTGCACTATTTGAAAAAAATAATGTTGGTATTTGTATTTATTAGAAAGAAAATTATTCAATGCTAGTGGTAAATGTGTTGTGTATGTACTTAAAGGAATTAGGAGCTTGGTGTAAATATGATGTGAAGGTAGGGGTTTGATTCAACACAAGTGTGGGGGTTAAATTGTAAATGCGTATTCATTAAAGTGCTTAGAGAGATGTAGTCACTATATTCAAATGTATCCTACTCGTCCTGCAGCCTACATTACAACCAAAATAAAATCCTACTTTATCCTTGACTGAATGAGCTCAAATTAGTAGAGTACTACACTACGAGCAAGCCTATGGTACATTTTCTGTGGCGCATGAATTATATTTCTGAGAGTGAGTTAATTATTTCTATCTTGAGTTCCTATTTGTTCTTGAATTTTATTGTGTGTGGAACTATTCTCTATCTTTGGTGTGAGGGCACATGATTTGTGAAGGAAAGGTAATGTCTGTGGCTTCTATGTTTGATTAAGTGAGGGGGGTTTTGAAAAACATGTGGTGCTTTTGAGTCGAGTTTTGAGGCTAGGATGTTATGATAGGGTTCTTAGTCGGCTTTAAATATCCTTGGCATGATGCTTTAGGAAAGTTGTCTGATAAGAAGGTCGTCTATATGAAGTTCAGTTTGATTGCTCGAGGACAAGCAATGATTTAAGTGTGGGATGTTGATGGTAGGATAGAACCCGTATTTTAGTCATAGCTTGCACTCTATTCACTTTATTTTACTTGTAGTTGATCTTAAATAATGGTAATTTGTGCTTATTACATGTTTTATATCTTGCATGAAATGATTCCGAGTTATTAAGATAATTTGGAGCTAATTTGAATAAGTTGGAGATTTGAAGTCTGAGTAAAAGCCTAAAAAATTAAGTCGGGATCACGTTCGGGGGTCGAGGACCAAGTTTGGATATTAAAAAAATGAGAAAATAAAATTACTTTGAGAAAATTCCACTACCCTGCCGCGCCATGCATAGCGGGGCGCGGGGTGCTAGTGCGAAATTCCTACATAGCTAAGAAATAGGCCTCTAAACTTTCCCAACCGGTGCGTCGCTATAGTGTATTTTCTCGTCCAACTTTTCCCACTATGACTTGGAAAGGATAGTTTCGTCTGGGCCTATTCCTACATGGTATAAATACATTAAAAATACGAATTTTAGAGGACTTTTGAGCTACGAGAGATTGGAAGATCATTGGAGACTCAAAGCACAAGGATTCATCATTTTTTTCTCTAATCAACACCCGAGTTTGGATTGAATTCATGTTTTCTTATTATTTAACTTTATTTGTGATGAATTTCTCCATGAATATGGAGTAGTTTCCCATAGGATTTGATGGATATGGTGTTTTGATAAATATTTGTGGAGTTTAACTCTAGTTCTTTACTTGAATTCGTTTATGGAGCTTAGAATCATTGCAACTTTATTCACTGATTTATTTAATCGAAAGAGAAATATTTTGGTGATTATATTTATATTATTTGATTTGATTTAATTTATTGATTCTCTTAAGTAATTGAAAGAGCTTGTTAAATTGTTGATTAAATCAAGTTAGGAGAATATTCGAGAGACGTTTTCCTAAAAACTAATCCATTAACGCATGCTTGCATATTTTCAAAGTGTTTATATTAGTTCACCTCGTAGAGTTACGATCTAATCGAGAGACGAGTCTTGGCTACACGTTTGAACTACTCATTGAGTGAATTCGTGAGAATCATTAAACTATTATAGTGAATTAAACTAGAGTTTGATCCCAAGTAGCTATCTTGCATCTATCCTGTCAAAACCCTTATTCCTCATATTGATAAGAAGCCAACTCTACTAATCTATAGTTCTTTGCAGTCAATTGTCAATTGCTTTACTTTAGTAGTTAATCGTAATTCGTAATCAATCCAAATCAAGTTTTGATCATCTTGAATAGCAGCTAAATCAGAAATTACTAGAGTATTTTTTAAATCCAATCTATGTGGAGACGATAATTAAATTATACTATCTTTGGCTAATGAGCATCAATTTCGTGTTGTGTTTTGTACTCGTCAAAAAGTAAAACATTGTGATAGCTTACGTAAAAATGAAACAAACTTTTATAAAAGTAATATCTCAGAGTCCGGAACCAAGGTAAGTTAAAGTAGATCTCCAAAAGAATTGAAAAAGGTATTATCACGACCCGGATTTTCCACCCTCGGGGGTCGTGATGACGCCTACTAATGAAAGCTAGGCAAGCCAATTGTTCCAATTACTTAACCTTTTACATATATTTTAATCCTTTAACAATGGCGAACAACACCAAATAAACAGCGAAATTCAATAAGCGGAAGAAAAGAAATGTAACGATTTCAATATTACCAACACAATTCCATAACTAAAAGCTACCCAGATCTGGTGTCACAATTTCACAGACTGTCTAAGAGTACTACAAATAAAGGTTCGAAAGATAAATACAAGTTGTTTCAAAAATACATAGAAGAAACAGTATAGAAAGATAGAAGGAGACGCCAAGGCCTGCAGACGCCTGCAGGACTGCCTCGGGTCGCCTGAATGGACTGAAGACAGCACCCTCACTGCGGTCCAAAAGTTGCTGCACCGGGATCTGCACACAGTGCAGAGTGTAGTATCAGCACAACCGACCTCATGTGCTGGTAAGTGCCTAGCCTAACCTCAGCAAAGTAGTGATGAGGCTAGGACCAGACTACCAAATAAACCTGTGCAGTTAAATCATATACATCGGAAAATAAAAACAGATATTCACAGTTAAAGATGGGGAGGGAAAATCATGCTACGGGGAGTATCAGATAACAACAAAATGCTAAAGAGGAATGTAAAGAAACCATAATTTAGTTGCCAACAAAAATGAGGAAAACAAACACAGTATTCACTTTCATTTCTTTCTTGTTGCAGACGTGCAACCCGATCCCATTTCATATATCTCATTGCAGGCGTGCAACCCGCTCCCATTTCACATATCTCGTTGCAGGCGTGCAACCCTCTCCCATTTCGCATATCTCATTNTGCAACCCGATCCCATTTCATATATCTCATTGCAGGCGTGCAACCCGCTCCCATTTCACATATCTCGTTGCAGGCGTGCAACCCTCTCCCATTTCACATATCTCATTGCATGCGTGCAACCCGCTCCCATTTAATCTTGTTGCAGGCGTGCAACCTGCTCCCATTTCATATATCTCGTTGCAAGCGTGCAATTCCCTCTCATTTCATATATCTCGTTGCAGCCGTGCAACCCGCTCCCATTTCATATATTTCGTTGTAGGCATGCAACCCGTTCCCATTTCCTATATTTCCGTGGCGACGTGCCACCCGATCCCATTTACAAATCAACATCAATCACAAAAGGATCCCAGCAAGGGAACAAGAGTGTAACAACAACATCCCGGAAAGGAAAACAATATCGTAAACAATAACATCCCGGCAGGGGAGACAATATCATAACTATAACATCACGACAAGGGAGACAATATCATAAACAATAACATCCCGGCAAGGGATCCAACAATGATAATCAACATATTAAGCATGAATAAATCTCAATGGAGTCACAACAATTACAATACTAGACCCACAGGCATGCTTGACACCGACGTATAGATACTCGTCACAATGCCTATACGTCGTACTCCACAATTAACACATAGAAAATAAGACACAACTCCTAATCCCTCAAGCTAAGGTTAGACCAAACACTTAGCTCGATGCCACAAACACAATTCAAGCCTCAACTACCGCTTTACCTCTTGATTCCACCACCAATTCACTCGTATCTAGCCACAAGTTACTTAACTATATCAATAAATACTAAATGAATCAATTCAAATGCATGAAAATAGGTTTTCTAAAGTTTTTCCCAAAAAGGTTAAAAATTGACCCCGGGCCCATTCACCCACAAACCCAAATATATAATTTGTTTTGAAATCGAACCTCAAAGCGAGGTCCAAATCTCCAAAATTTGAAAAATC